CCCGCCCCAAAAAAAAAAAAAAAAAAAAAAAAAAGGAAGGAAAATAGAGGGCCAGCCAGAGGCATAGTGTTAAGGTGGCTGGATTCCACATAATCAACTGCACAGTTTGAGTCCTGGAACCGGTGGCTTGAAAAACATGCTGGGCACGTGTGCATGTGTGTCCAAAGTCCCAACAGGATAATGGAGAAGGGACTGTGGTGTGGCTAAAACCCCTGAGGGATGATTTCTCACTTTCTCTATCTCTTCTCTGTCTCTCTCTAGCAAGCATATGTGGCCTATGGAAAAAATTTAAAAGAAGAAAATGGAGAGAAAATTGGATAGCTGCATAATCTATTTAGATGTTAATTATAGCATACATGTGGTAGGGATAAAAAGGTATTCAGCATAATTCTTTCAACTTTTTTTCCCCCAAAGAATTACTTAATTCCTTATTTATTTATTTATTTTTACATTTGACCAGAGAGGAACAGAGTGAGAGACAGAGAGAGAAAAGGTGAGAAAGCAAGCCGCCAGGTCCAGGACTTGAACCGAGGTTGGCCATGTGGGAGTCCAGTGCCCTTAACCACCATGCCACCCACTGGCCCCTTATTTCAACTTTTGTGAATTTAACAATTGCTGATACAATGGGACCAGCAGATGGCAAAATGGATACATCGCTAAACTCCCATGTAGTCAACTATGGTTCAAGTCTTAGACCCAGTGGCTTAAACTCAGGCAGGGCATATTTGTGTGCGTGCCCCAGATCCTGAGAAGAGAATGGAGGAGAAGGGATTGTGGCGTGGCCATTCCCTTTGGGGGGTGATTACTTGCTTTCTGCCTCTCTGTCTCTTTCTGTCTTTCTGGCAAACACACACACCCTATAGCAAAACCTCTCCAAAAAAAAAAAAATTGCTGTAATGAAACTGTAATTTTGCTGAGAGAACGTATAAAGTCACCCCAGCCAGTGCATGGTGGTCAAGGTGAATGGATCCCACATAGCTGACCAGGTGGTTCAAGTTCCAAACCCAACAGTTTGGAAAACACACCAAGAGCATGCATGCATGCATGCATGTTTGTGTGCACGCCCAAGATCCTGAGAAGAAAATGGAGAAGCAATTGCGGCATGGCCATCCCCGCTGGGCAGTGCCTTCTCACTTTCTCTCTCTTTCTCCAGGGCACATGCTCCCCATAGCAAGTTGAAAAAAAAAAAAAAAAAACTAAGACCACTTTCTTGATCTCCCTTTCTCTTGTCTCTCTCCAGCATGTGCACATACCCTATAGCCAAATAATAATAATAATAAAAAAAGAGTATAAAGTCTCCTTTCCTTTTCTCTTCTCATTCAGCTACGTAACTCATCCATACCTCTATCAAAATAACCACCGTCAGGACCAGCAGATGGCGTAATGGTTACACGGCTAGTCTCCCACATAGTCGACCGCAGCTTGAGTCCTGGACCCCACGGCTTAATACTCACGTCGGGCACATGTGTGTGTGTGCCCAAAATCCCGAGAGGAGATTGACAGTATGTGGCCATCTCCCCAGGGGTTGATTTCTCACTTTCTCTTTCACTGATGCTGTCTCTTTCTCTCCAGTAAGCGCACAGACCCTAAGGCAAAAACCTCTAAAAAAAAAAACCTGAAGAGTGTGTTGTTATTAAATGTCCAGTAAAGAGCACAGTAAAATAATCAAACCCGTTTTTAAATGTTTTTATTATAGACAAAATTAATAACTAGATTCACTAAGTAATTAAATTGAACAGTTTTCTTAGGAACTACTAATCAAACTGTTTTGAGGGACCATTTTTCTCCCCCAATCCACTGTGGACTAACATTTTTGTAACATTAAAAAAATGTCATGGTGAACTAGCAGGTGACATGGAGGTTATGGCAGCTTGAAAATCACACCAGGTGCGTGTGCTTGTGTGCACATGCATGCCTAAAAATCCTGAGAGAATGGAGGAGAAGGAACTGCAATGTGGCCATCTCTGTGGGGGCATTATTTTTCACTTTCTCTCTCTCTCTGTCTCTGTCTCTTTCTGGTGGGGATATGTGCCTGATAGCAAACTTAAAAAAGAAAAAAGTTATGGCAAGCCAAATTGCTATAAGTTTCTAATTATTCATTTTTTGAACTTAACACATCATAAACAGCTTGAACATAAAACTAGTGGTCAAACCACACTTTGAATAACACTAATTTAGACTAACAGGACTCAATTTTTAAAAATTCTTAAAATTAATTACTCATAAATCAACCTAAATACATCACCATAATTTAGGAAAAAAAAAAATTTACCTTGGGAAAATATTTGTATAGTCCCATGTACGCGAGTTGTAAAGTAAGAAATGGAGCAAATATGGACTGTGAAGATAGAAGATAAAATTAAATATTTCCAACATAATCATTCAAATCACAATAAATTTAATAGCAGCTATCAAATTCTGAGCAAAAATTCTTAGTAAAATATTTTTATGACTGAAAGTAATCTTGTTTCTGCACTAAAGGGAAGTAAAGAGATTTGATTTCTTAGCCATAAAACACATTTTTCAAGTCATACAATTCTGAGAGGAGAATGGAAAAGGGACTGTGACGTGGCAGACCTGCAGGGGCTGACTTCTCACTTTCCCTCTCTCTGTCTCACGCCCTGGTGGGGAAAAAAAACTAAAACAAAAAACTTATCTTTAAAAGTATTTAAAGTATTCAATGGTGATAGAGATGTAACATAAGTTATGCAATACGTCTCTCTCACCTAGACAGAATTAACTGACAACCTGCAAGCACACATAAAAGGCTGGCACTCAAAACAGATGCCATTCGTTCCTCGGACTTTGGGGCAAAGAATTAACTCACACAACACCCATCTCTGGCCCTTAAATGTAGAGCTATTCTCTATAATAGGTAAAATGGTTTGATCTGGCTTCTCAGACATAACAGAAAAGGTCAAAAAATAACATTCAATTTACACAATTATTTCTAAAATTAAAAATAATATAAAGGGAATAAAGGGGCAAATATTACTAAGTGCATTAGGTTGAGAGCTGTTGACATACAGTTGAAAATCTGCCAAAGAGAGAAAACTCGAAAACCAAAGCAGAACTAGCCTAATGATTAAGGGAGCCAGATCCCACTAGCCAACTGCAGTTTGAATCCCAGCCCTGGCAACTTGAAAAATACAAGGGGTATTTGTTTATGCATGCGCCAATCCTGACAGAATGGAGCTATGGAGAAGGGAGTGTGGTGTGACCACATCCTATTGGGGAATGTTTCATCTCTCCCTCTCCTTCTTTCTCTGGTACACATATGCCATCTTGTAATTGAAAAAAGAAAAGAAGGGACCAGCAGTTGGCATAATGGCTATGTCACTGGACTCCCATGTAGTTGACCACAGTTCGAGTCCTGGACCAGGTGGCTTTAACTTGCGCCGGGTGCATGTGCACGCGTGCCCAAGATCCCGAGAGAATAGAAGATAAGGGATTGCAGTGTGGTCATCCCCCCTGGGGGGTGATTTCTCACTTTCTGTCTCTCTGCTATAGCAAAAAGCTCTCAAAAAAAAAAAAAAAAAAGAAAGAAAGGAAAAGAAAAACAAACAGGAAGAAACTTCACAAAAAAAGCACAAAATAGGACATAATTTTAAAGCATTAAAGTATATGGCCCTTTAGATAAGAGGGAAAAAATGCTGCTATATAGCTCACTGAGGAAAAAGATTTGTTAACAGACTGTATTCAGAAAATCATTTGCATATTATTATTTTTATTTTATTTAATTTTATTTTTTTGCCAGAAACACACATGCTGGGGGGAGGAGGGAAGGCAAGAAAGCCACCCCCTGCAGGGCATGATTACACTGCACTCCTCCCATCACACCCTCTTTTCAAGATTTTGGGCACGCTCAAATGCCTGGCATGTTTTTCCAATCTAGTGGGTCTAGAACTTGAACCATGTAGTTGACCACATGCGATCCAGCCATCTTAGCCACCAGGTCATGAGCTGGCCCTAAATTTTTAAAATGTTTTGCTTAATGATATAATCCTTAATTATCTAGAAAATGAATTTATATGCCTGACACATGGTAGAGATCTTCAAAATGTTACTGAATGGAAATACCTCAAAGAGCAAAACACTGAGCTATGCCTTTCTGTGTTCTTCCATGTATTATAAAAACAAAAAACAGGGACCAGCAGGTAGCATGGTGATTAAGGTGCTGGACACTCCCATATGGCTGACCATGGTTCAAGTCCTGGCTTGCTTTCTCACTTTCCCTCTCTCTCTCTCTCTCTGTGTCCCTCTCTGGTCAAATTAAAAATAAATGAATGAATAAATAAACTTAAATTAATAATTCTTAAAAAAAAAAAAAGACATCACTGTGATACTACAACATTACAAAGTGCTGAAATGTGTTTTAAGCCACAGAAAAATTATATCATATTCGGGACCATAGGAACTGCACTTGTAACTTCCAAATATTTGAAAATGGGTAATTAATATACAGTATATCTAGACCCTTAACCCTTCAGTTCTGGAATGAAATCCCCTAGGTTCCAGCTGCCATTTAGTAGCTGTGTGACTGCGGGCAAATGATTTACCCTCTCCGGGAGTCTTCCTGCCCTCACCGATACAAATGATACCTAGGTTCATAAGGGCGAGGATGAAATAATTATACTCAAAACACTTAGAATATAATAAGCACTGGCACATAGGAAAGAGTTCCGTAACTATGATGCTTAGGCTCAGTATCTAAATTGAACATGTCATTGTATAACTAGGATGAATAGCAAAGTTCGTAAAACATCTCCAAATAGCCAGTGGATCTAGTAAATAGTAAGACACTACTGGCAATACTTCTGTAGACTAAAACACCCATGAGTACAGCCAACTTGCACTTTCTATTAAATCAGCTTAATAGTTTATAGCTCTTTTTCTTACCAAGTATTTGCAAACAAAAGCTCTCACTCCAAGAGCAAGAAGAGCACATCCCACCAATCTAAATATTCGGAAAGAGTCAAATTCTTCTGTTGAACTTCCATCTTCTTGACTAGGTTTTTCACTAATCAGCTGTTTCCTTAGCTTCATTGCTTCTTCAAATCTGGAGAGGTACTGTTCCAGGCCGTGGCGAGAACCCCTCTGGACAGTGTCTGCTGTCAGGTCCCCTCTGTTCCGCTGCCGGAGCTCCAGGTTCACCTCATTACCGCACTCGGGTGGTTTAATGAAAGAGTCCAGTTTGTCTCCCAGCTGGGTCCCCTGTACTTCAGCCACACCACCCTGCTGGTCGCTTGTTCCTGCACTGACTGCATCACCCAGCACCACTCGCTTTGAAACTGAAGGAACATTGAGGGAGTTCAGTTTATCACTGTCCTGCTGCTTTGATTTTGTCTGACTTTCTTCTTCTGAGAAAAGAAATTTAAGAACCTTAAGTAGTACATACTGGCAAACACCTTACATATTAAAAAAATATGCTGCAATTAGAGGGGCCGGCAGAAGGCATGTTGACTAAGGGCGCTGGACTCACACTTGGCTGACCATGGTTCATGTCCTGGACCTGGAGGCTTGATCTCTCTCTCTCTCTCTTTCTCTCTGGAAATGTTAAAATAATAATAAAGTTAAATAATTCTTTAAAAAAAGTATATATATATATATGTATATATATATATATACACACACATATATACACACACACACATAGCAATTAGAATGCATCAATGTCTGATTCTAATAAATACCACTTCTGCATAAAATGAAAACTAATTTCTTTCTCTACATCCTCAAAATACACCACACAGCACACAAAGAGTACTCCTGCAGAGAAAATATCCAAACTTCTTTGGTAGGTATAAGACTGGTAGAGAAACTAGAAGATGCATTCAGAGATGGAGCTAGCTGTAATTATGACCTACTGTTCATGGATAGTGTATCCCAGAAGTATGACTGCACTGCCTGCTCTTTGCCTGCTCTAGCTTATTTGCTTAAAAATAAAAATCATTAAACTTTTAAAACTCTATCCAAAGCACAGGGTGTGGCATATCCTACTGCTATTGTTTACATAGCCAGGCAGCCATTAGGAGGTACCAAAGCACTTTTAGATGCTGCTCTGGTTTAAAAAAAAGGAAAAGAAAAACCTTTAAATACTGATAAAATTTTCTAAGCAAAACAACAAATTATACAAAGCACCTCAAGAAGATCATAAATAATGCTTTGGGAAAGAATAAATACCCTGATACTGACCATTAAAGGAAAAAAACATCTAAGTATTGTTTTGTTTTGTCTACAGGGCACATCTCTGGCCAGAGACAGAGAGAGAAAAAGAGAAGGAAGCGAGACATCTCTCCTCTGAGGTGACAGCCACTCCACAATCCCTTCTCCTTCATTCTCCTCTCAGGATTTTGGGCAGGCAGGCATAGGCAGCCAGAATGACCCTCTTTTATTATTCTAGAAGAATATGAGATAGTGCCCTTGGGGGTCAGCAAGTGGTATGGTGGTTAAAGCACTCCCAACATGGTCGACTGTGGTTCGAGTCCCAGATCTGGTGGCTTGCTTTCTCATTATCTCTTTTTCTCTCTCCCTCTCCCTTTCTCTGTCTCTCTTGGGTCAGCATACATGTCCTATGGCAATTAAAAAAAAAAAAAAGGCAACAATAGGGACCAGCAGTTAACATAATGGTTATGTCACTGGACTCCCATGTAGTCGACCACGGTTTGACTGGACCCGGCAGCTTAAATTCACGCCAGGGACATGTGTGTGCGTGCGTGCCCAAGATCCAGAGAGAATGGATTGCGGTGTGGTCACCCCCCCGGGGGGTGATTTCTCACTTTCTGTCTCTCTGTCTGTCTTGCTAGCGCACGCACCCTATAGCAAAAACCTCTCCAAAAAAAAGAAAAAAAAAAAAAAAGCAACAATAATAATTCTTTTCTTAAAGGTTTACTTTTATTTTTTTAAAGAATTATTTTATTTAACATTATTCATTTTAATTTGACCAGAGAGGGACAGAGTGAAAGCAAGAGCGAGAGAGAAAGAGAGAAAACAAGCCGTCAGGTCCAGGACTCAAACCATGGTCGGCCATGTGGGAGTCCAGCGCCTTTAACCACCATGCCACCTGCTGGTCCCTACTTTTATTTTATTTATTATTTTTTTAAAAAATTTGAGCAGAGAGAGAGGGAAAGTGAGAAAGCAAGCCACCAGGTCCAGGGCTCAAACCACAGTGGGCCATGTAAGAGTCCAGCGTCCCAACCACGATGCCACCTGCTGGCCCCAATAAATAATTCTTTTAAAAAATATTTTAAAATAGTGCCCTTACCTCTCCTTTGATCTATCTCTTAAGTTCTGAACTACATATCCAGTGGCTCACAGGAGATGGGGGAGATCTAGGGAGTTTGTGATCGGTGACCTAAGGTCAGTTACTAACAGAAACACTCAACGAACACTCTGAACACTAGGGCCTGTTAAGTGTTCAATTAAATTCACATGAAAAAAATTAAGAAACTCATGGGACATGTCTCGAGGAGAAGGAACTCTCCTTCGGTCACCAATCGCATCGATCTCAGTTGGCCCTCGGGAGGGCACGTCGCATGTGCAGGGCCGAGGTTACCGAACAGACACTAAGTAGGACGAGAAGATCCAGATTCCCGACCCACGCAGGCCGGACCAGGGAGCGCACCACAGTGACAAGCGTAACGGGGCGGCCAAGGATTACACAGCAAAAGGCGAAGGCAGACAGACGCTGGAAGGAAAAGCATCAGCGACCGAGGGAAAGGAAAGCAGTTCTCCTGAGGAGCGTGGTGGCCAGAGCAGTCTGGGGGTACCTCGTGCGCCCCTCGAAGACGAAGACGAGGGGGTGGGTTAGGAAGCAAGGGCTGTCACAGAATAGGGGACGCAGGAGCCTCAGCTCCGCAGCCGGGACGGGGACGATCTCAGGGCGAGGCTCCCAGGCAACTGGGGGAGAACGAGAGACATCAGGGGTTAAGGAGTCAGCACGCGGGACACCACCTAAGGGGCGGGGACAGGACGGAAAGGTCAGCAGAGGTGGGTGTCGAGAGAGGCAAGGATGATCCTGAAGGTTCAAAGCGGTGGGCGGGAGGCCGAGAGGAACCCAGGCGCTCACCTGCGCCGCTCCCGGGCCTGTGGAAGCCCATGATGCGGTTGATGCGCTGTTCCGAGTTCATGAGCAGCTTTCTCC